TTTTACAAATTCTTTTTTCATTACATTACACAATAATTCCCCAACAAACCTGAAATTGTACAAAATTGCGTGTTGTACATTTTGCAATTCCTAAAACACTAAACAAAGGATAGGTCAAAAGAATGTGAAAACTTGTATATTTAAAAAAAAAACAGGCAAGCATCTCCTAAACCTTATATACTGTTCCAAGCACTTTTGTGCTTTTTTGTGTCAGAACTTTGAAAAATACAAGCCATATAACAGGTCTTGTACTTTTAAGGGTAACCCTTCTTTTCACCACTAGATGGCCCTGATTTGGGCTCTGTAATATGAACCTTAAAGTCGATCACACATTTTCTCAGAATTGAATTTGAATTATGTGTCAAACTCTTGTAATGTTCATTTAGAACCAAAAATATCAAAGCTAAAAACCTTTTTGTCACTTATTAGGAACTTATTTGACAATAGCTGTGTTGCGTCCTTCCAATTTAATTCAAAACAGCCGGTGTGATTGGCAAATGCACCGGTGCGTGCAGAGACTTTTAAGGGTTGAATTGCACATGTATAGCAGGACCATAGTCCTTCTTATCAAGTTCAGTTGTTCTGTCCCCTTGTCCCAAAGCATTATGTTACCATTACCATGCTAATGTGCTATGTGGCTCAGTCAGTAAAAGCATGTTTTTAGCAAGGCCAAGATTAAGTGTTTAAAACACAGATACATTTTTTTCCTAGTCCAAAAATATGGATGTTTGATGCATATGGTATATTTGGCTTCATAAGCAGCCTTCCTTTTTCTCCCAATAGTTGAGTTGGTGCTGAACAGTTTAATATTGATACCTTCTGACATAGCTTTCACCCATTTCACCTCTGAATCAATCAGATGTTCTTGTGTTGAAGACTCTTCTTTATGAGCTTTTAGTGTTTACTATCATTCGCTGGTCTTCACGTGTGCGTTACCAATGGTTTTCTTAGTGACTATGTCCACTACTGTTTAAAGATCAGCTACATAATCCTGACTCAACTGGTTTTTTACCATTCACATTGTTTTGTGTTCCTATTTTCTGTTGGACTAAAGTTATTCTAATTTACAGAAGGTACGTTGTTAAAAATACAACTGTAATGAGGAACATTAAACTCCATCCTCAAGATTTTATAGACATTTTAATATTTGTATTACATTCTGCTCTGAAAGAAATCACTATGATTGTGTGATACATCAGTCACTGTTGTTGTACATGTTTGTTTTTAAAGGTTTCGCTTGGTCTTGAAAGGAGTTAAGACTGGTAACTCTAGATAGGACAATCTTCCATTTGCTTCAGCTCTGATTTTCTGGTACCCCCAAAAGCTAAACATTGGCCAAGAGGAAACCCAGATAGTCCAATTTAATGACAGCTGAGACACACAGGAGCCCTGGCCTTTGCCTTTAAAGCTCAGTTCCCCATTCCAATACCACCATCTAGTGGTTGAAATTAACATTATGTACAAACAGCAGGGAAATACGTCACTAAAAGACGTCCATGTATGGTCTTTCAAAAAAGAGCAATAACAATGATAGCCTTGCAAAGGACTAGTAAAAACATCTACTGAAAAGAAGCACCATTAGATCCACGACAATCGCCAGGAATAGAAAATTAATAAAATAATCCAATTTGTTAATGGTGATTAAGTAACCAAATTTGAAAAAGTGAAAGTCGTATGATACATTATTTTAAAGTGAAAGTCTTTCTTTGTTTTGATTTTAATCATTATAAAAAAAAGTGAAAATAACTATTAAATTCCACATTGTAGGTCTCAGGGAGCCAGAAGAGACACCTGCAGACAATCAATCCAATTAATCAGTCACCCAGTCAGAACACTCCTCCAATCAAGCTACTTCGGTTAAAAGGATCGTCCATGTACCTCCCCATTTAACAGATCTATGGTTCACGAACCCTGACTTTCCATCAATGCTCCTAGCCATCTTAGATCTCTACTTCTCTACTGTGACTGGGTTTACCATCATCTCTGTGGTCATTGTTGTCATCTCTGAATGGGCCCAGGTGGTACTGTCACAAGGGTGATAAGTTCCAGGAACCATGCCTTGTTGAGGCCAATAAAGTGCGACCAGAAGGACCTCCAACTCACCCTACTGATCTTTCACAGAAACTCAAGTGTTGGAAAAAAAATCTGCAAAATCACTGCATTTTTCTGCTTCTTCCTGTGTCAGCATGTCTATCCCAAGAGGAGCCCGGTATAAGGAGTAGAAAAGCAATGGGAGTTCTTAGGGGATGCGATAAATGTTCTGTGATGAAAGAGAATTACTACATGGAAGTAAGGATCCTTAAGGTCTAAGATGACAAACCAACTCCCAGGATGAGAGCACCCTAGGATGCCTCGGACATTGAGCATCCTGAGCAGGCACTTGTCTAAGTATTCTCATTTCCTGTATTGGTCGCAACCTACCAGTCTTATGGTAACCCGGAAGTAAAGGCTGTAAAACGCCCTCCTGCAGTCAGCAGGAGGGATGGCTCTACCACATATTTGGCGAGAAGGGTGACGACCTCTTCTCACGGGGCGAACTGGATCGTATAGCCCAGCCAAATCATCCTGAGGAGCCACTGGGACGGCCTGGGAAGCTTCAGCCAGGCTCCCAGAAAGTCTGCCAGGGGCTTCCTTGCCGTGCATGTGCCAGGGCAGAGTGTAGCCGTGTTTGCCCTCTGTCCTCACAAGCCTCAATTTGGTGTGCTGGAAGCCCAAAACACTCAAGACAGCGTTCATGACTGTTCTCCGACTACACAGAACCACAGAGACATGCACCACATACAGACCCTACACGTGTTCTTTCATCTTGCAAACAAATCATTCATTTACTAGTTCCATTTTGGTGTCACAGGGGTCTGCTCCAGGGCACTTTGGGAGGACATCCTAGGCATGTCGCCAATCCATCACAGAGCAACACACACAGTTACCCTTGGTTTGTTGAGATGACCATTAAAAGACTTTAAATGACTTAACAGTCTGTAGATATGACAGAGACTGGTAGAGATAAACAAGGACTTGAACCCTGTATCCTCATTAAAAGTCTAACGCTCTACTGACTGAACTTTCCAGGCTCTTGTTTACAGAATGGAAACTAATAAAGACCACCATTATTTGTTGATTTTAACAGAGACTTTAAAACTCTAAAAACTCTACTACAAATTTCAAAATAACTATAATTTAAAAGAGTGTATTTTTAAAGAGGTTAATGAGGAGAAACATTTTTCTTTTTGCATTCTATAGATAAAGAACCTAAATTGAATGAACAGTTTGTAGATTTGACAGAGATTTATTTGCAGGGATTTTCTTCTACCCAAATAGGGACTTGAACCCTGTACCCTCAGATTAAAAATCTGATGATCTACTGACTGAGCTATTGGGGTCTTGCTTCCAGACTGGCTTAAGTGAAAATCTTGGTTCTTCAGGATGCCCACCTACTAGGGATGAACGAGTACAGCATTATCTGTATCTGTATCGGTTAACCATAGGATTTATCTGTACCTGTATCCGTACTTGGAGTGGGCGGGGCATAACCCGGAAGTAGGTGTGGTTTAACCTGGAAGTGGGTCGTGTTGTCTTGAAATGGCCAGGGCTTTTATGTTATTTTAAGCATGCAATTGATATGCGTTGATCAGAAATTGTTATATTTACTGCTGATTAGAAAACTATTTACATGACATTATCAGCATTGAGCACCAGATCAGTGGTTTTGATCATGATAACAAACAAACTATATACAGAACAAGTTTTGCAACAATGAATACAACACATGTGGTTGCAGTTATGAAGTAAAATGTAATGAACAAGAGTTTTCATTTCAACATAACTTTTTTTAACATAGAGCAGTGTTATTATTTTTTTTTTTGGGGGGGGGGGGGTCTATTTCCTTTTTTTTTATTTCCACACCAGGTATGTGTGAGTGAGTGAGTGAGTGAGTGAGAGAGAGAGAGAGAGAGAGACAGAAAGAGAGAGAAGGGGGCAGGGGGGACTGTGTTCTACGGATCAAATAGTCTGATGCTGTTTTTCAGATCTGCATTGACTTTAATGAAGACCAGTTGTTCCACATGGCTAGGGTCTAAGTTTGCACGCTGTGGACTGACCACATTTCCAGCTGTGCTAAAAACATGCTCAGACTAGACACTTGTAGGTGAACAACTGAGATGCTGCAGTCCAAAGCGTGTAAGACAGACAGAGATGCGAGTCGTTTTTACCAAGCACCACGTCTGAACAAACCAAAGTAAAAAACAAACCCGAAGCTGAAGAAACCCTAAAAGTTAAAAGAAAAATCTGCAAATCTGAGTGACTCAGGGAGACACTGCTCACTTCTCTTCTCAGTGTTCTGTGTGTGTGTGTGAGCAGAGCGGGGTATGTGTGTAGGGAAGGGGCGCCGTGATTAGCCTATCACAGAACGCAGACACAGTAAACTACCCAAAGAGAATTTTTATTCAATCCGAGCACGGACATTGAATCGTAGTACTCGTATGATACTTGTACTCTGCAAAAGTGCTTTATCCGAACCGGATACTTGTTTCAGCCGAGTATCCGGCTCAACTCTACCACCTACTGCAAAGTGTTTTGCTCTTGGTTTGTTGAGATGATGACTATAAAAGAACTTCAATTGACTTAGCTTGATAGAGACTGGAAAAAGGTCCAATATGAACAAGGACATTACATGCATTTTAAACACATTGTTGTTTCTCTAAATACCTGTATTTTACCAAACATTTACATATTAAAGACATTATAAATCTGTGAAAATCACGGCAAATTGCTTTTTCTGGCCCAACACCTGTGCAGCGCATGTCTATGAGAAGTGATGATTTATTACTTTTTAGCAATAGTTTTTATTATTATTAAGGTCTAGAGCAATCATCATTAGACATGGCTTGTGCTAAAATTGACAATTAAACTCATAAGTTGATAAAACAAGTAGAAAAGTTACAGCACAGTATAGGATTAAATACTTTTCCTGGCTCAGATGATGATTTCAAGGTAAGAGTGACACAAAGTAAGGTTTTGGGCTGCACATCCCAAAATAGGGATGCTACAATACTTGGTTTTATAGCAAAACCATTCAGTGAACCCTCTTAGGGTTGGTACATGTTTCTAAACTGCGGTTTATTGTTTCCTCATTTGAATAACTCCTGTATGTATTATTATTAGTTTATGCATGTGAAAAGGCAAATGTCAGGGAAAGAAACGCATTTCCTCCAGCAAATATCCAATCAATGAACTGTTCTTTTGTGTAAATATCCAATCAGCGAGCGCTAAAGTTAGAGGAGGGTGGAACTTTTCGTGTTTCACTTAGTCAGGGAAAGAATTGTCAGCACTATGAGACGTGTCAACTTTTTTGGTAGCTTTACTGACGAATACAACAAATATGGAAAAATACAATTGTCCCCATGTGCCAGCAATGTTTAATCAGATGTTATAGAGCAAAAGGCAACATATGAAATTCAAGCGCTCATCTGTGCAGTCTTCAGACTGCTGTTCCTGGTTTCAGGATCCCTGAGCACCTGCTCATCTACTTTGTGGCAATACTGACATAGAACGAATGTTATGTAATATGTATGTAAAATGGAATTGCTAAAATAAAATGAAGTTACAAATATGAATTTTATATTAATTTTAAATGCCTAAATTTGATTGTTGACCCAGGTATGAATGTTCTAGAATCTAGATAACGTTCTGGAAGGCAAAGATTTGTCGAAGGTCTGGAACATTCGAGAGGTTTTTTTTTTTTTTTGCCTCATTTACGCAACGCTTTTTTTCAAGAGCGATGAATGTTTTATCCAATCAGAAACGGCAGCGCTGAGGAAGGCGTTGACTTTCCAGTTCTTCCCGAATGTCGCTTTTTTTGGGTTGCCAAATTGTCAATTCTCATCGCGCCATTGATGGAGTATTCCGAACACCTCGCAAATGTGTTATTTTGATTTCTTATTGTTATATTACTTTCCCTAGATTCTGTATAGATAGCCATAATTGGTGAATGAAACTGCATTTTGTTTCGAGCATACCACGTCACAGATTTTTTAGGCTACGCATTTTCCCTTTTATAAGGATTCACTCTGGCAACCCAGCGTTCGGCACAATTGATATGAGGCTGAGAGGCGGGGCGTCGACAGTGTCTTCAGTAGGTTCTGGAACCTTGTACCCGCAGAATGGAGAAAGTAAGTAACTTTTCTAATAAGAAATATGTAGGCCTGATATTTATTATAAGTGATTCTACGCCGCTAAAATGAACTGGTTAAATAGAGCTTTGTTGGAGTGGAATTCATTGGTTTCATTTCAGTCCGCGTTGCTCTCGCACCAAGGCTAGTTTGCTAATAACACGTTAGCCGCCGAATCAGACACGAGGGGATGCCATTAGCAATCGATATGAGGGTTTCTTCCGTGCAGGTTAAAGTTAAAGTGAGTGATCATTGTTTATAAGTTAGGGTTGTTGATCTAGGTCATTTAAACATGTCATTGAATCTAGAGATTCCACACTGTTAGCAAGTTAGCACAAGCTCATGCCTGGTCTCAGCATGGTAAGGGCCGATTAATTTAGACAAAGTTACGTGAAAGTGATAAATAATTAATTGGTATGTTGATAACGTTCGTTTATTCATAGCGTAACCTTCTAGAAAATCAGTTCAGGAAGACACTCATCGCAGCCATAACTTGGACAGGAAATAACTTGTTTCTATGGGAAAATGAATCCCATTTATTTCTTATTTTTATTGTTAATTATGGTTTCTAGTTTTTTTTTTTTGCATCAAAATATTCATTAAATGGGACATTTGACCCACATGTTCTCTAAACTAAACCTAAAGATTACAGTGGTACCCCGAGTTACGAAGTTAATCAGTTCCAGGGTGGCTTTCGTATCTCGAAGCATATTTTACATTTAAAATGCTTAATCTGTGCAACGGCTCTCAGAAACAACAGTATAAGTTGATAAAAAAAAGGAAAACCAGAGAAAAATCAAGTAACGTTTCTTCAATCCTTAAATCTACACTTTGTTCATTATTAAATGATAATAAAACAGAATAAACACATGCAAAATACGTAATAATATACACAAATGTGAAACCTTGAGAATGAAGCGATGTTTCGGAGGAGGTGGAACGGATGGCAGTAAAAATTGTCTCTACGTATGACCGTTAACTCTAACATTTGTTATAGTACATTATTGGTAATCTATGCATAATGTTTCTCTCGATTTAAAACTGATTTAAAGTATTTTAAAGCTTATCCGCCCCTTAAAGCACACTTTCTGCAATTGGAGAAATGAGTGCCAAGACCCGGTGGCGCAGCACGACGTCAGACTTAACAAGCGGATAATAGAGCAGAAATGTTTGTTATTGCTCGTATCTTGAATTTTTCTTTGTATCTCGAAGCAAAAAAAAAATCCCAGGAGACCTTTCGTATCTCGAACATTTTGAAACTTGAAGCGTTCGTATTTTGGGGTACCACTGTATTTTTTTTTTTTTATTATTATTTTTTTTTTGGTGGTTGTCAGATCAAACCATTTTACAGTTTGGGAGTAAACATAAGCAGTCTATTACAAGGTCGAAGTGCTCTAGAAGGAATAGATGTTCTAGTTAATTTTAAGTTTGTCAGGTAATAATGTTTTTTTCTTACTTATAATTCCCTCTAGGTATCACAGCTCAAGGATCAAGGAAACAAGGCTTTGAGTGCTGGGAATCCTGATGAGGCGGTTCGGTGCTACACAGAGGCCCTTACTTTAGACCCCTCCAATCACGTCCTATTCAGCAATCGCTCTGCTGCTTATGCCAAGAAGGGCGATTATGACAATGCCTTGAAAGATGCCAGCCAAACTATAAAGATCAAGCCAGACTGGGGAAAGGTGGGTTCCTTTTTTTCTTAGTGGAGGAAGTTTACTGATTTGAAAACCACCATTCACAAGAGTGTACCGAACCGAGGAGGGTGTACCGAATGGTTCGCTATAAAACTGAATTTTGTGGCATCCAAACTCCGTGAAAGAAAGACCCTCTCTGAATCATTCAACCAGCCATACCCATCTAATTTTAAAAACACAAAATAAGTTATGTTTAGGAATGGCCGATTTGTCCTAAAATCAAAATCTTAACATTTTAACTCGATTAAGATTAATGAACGATAGTTCACAATCAAGTTTTTTACAGTAAATATCCTCACATATTACAAGTGAGAAGTAAAAGGTGTATTACTTGATATTAAAGAAATGGAATGGGGACACCTGGCTCCACGCGGTAGAAAAATTGACCATGTCTATTTTCATTGATTGTCCACCCCTACATATGTTGCTCTAGGTCATATACGGAATACTGTGCTGCTGTACTTGTATTGCAAAACTATGTATTGTTTATTTTTTTGAAGATGTATGTTATTTTTATTA